GGTCTAAAAGGTTCATTCATGCTGGTTTTCTTTACCACATGGAACTGAAAACAAGGCTCAGTGTGTGGCAATCACTTATTCAAGATGTGAAAGACAGTAACTTGTGGGAAGAAGACAATGGTCAGAAAATATCTTCTGCGAGTGTCAGAAAAGGCTGAGTTTATACAAACACTTCAGTGAGGCTCCCTTGAAATGAGTGACAAGCCACTTATCTTAAGGAGTGGTTATACAGATTCAGGAATGGGTTTTTGTTATTCTTGCTTGGTCAGGAATAGGGATTATATGAATAATATTAAAATTACTGGATAGGTTACTCCTACTGAGAAAAAGCTGCTACTGAATTTCCTGAAGATGTGAGGAAGCTGACTGAGGAGAACAGACACTATCTGCAGCAACTTTCATCTTCCAGAAGAAAATGCCTAGTAGAACCAGCATTTGTAAAGAACAAAGGAAACACTGGGGCATAAAGCACAGAAAGACAGATTAACTCTAGATCACTGTAGCAACATTACAGGGCATATGATAAAGTCAAGTAAGTGCAAAGAAGCCACATTAAAGCCAAAATTATCTGTTCATATTCTAGCAACATAATCAGAAGGTATGGGGAAAAGCCACCTTGTTTACAAAGTGTTCCTTCCAATGCTTCCTCCAAGAATTACTGAAAGGGTTGGTTTGAAGTCTTATTAGAGAGACCATGTACCCAGACATGTGGAAATGAAAATGTTGAGGCTGTATTTTTATTATTTCCAAATAGAACCCCATTGCTTCAGCTCCTTGATCAGAGCATGATTTGATTTGTCAAGGCCATAAACACTTACCTGGTATTTGAATGCATTCAATCAGCAATTGATGTGGACCCTAATCCAGACACAGCACAGTATGGAAAATGATTCACTGCTGCAAAGCAATGGCATTCATCAAAGCTGCATTGAAGGAATTAAAACCAGAAATTGAAAATGCCTCATAGAAGACCTCATAGAAAGAAGAAATGAATGATTTTAAAGACTTCCTGGGGATCAATAGAGGACAGTCATTCACACAGAAAAAACGGTTGGTATAAAATATGTTGACGTGCTGAGGAAGAAGTGGAGGAATGTACTGAAGGCCACTAAGGAGAGCTAACAAATAAGGAATGAATGGGGAGAACGTGTTGAGTTGCCTATGGAGGAAAATGAGCAGAAACCTGAGGAAGAACGAGCAGTGTAAACATGCCCCAAATTTCTCAATTGCGATCTCCCCTCTCCCTTCTCCCCCTCCCCCTCCTCTCTCTCTCTCTCTCTCTCTCTCTCTCACACACTCTCTCTCCCTCCCTCCCTCCCTCCCTCGTAAAGACAAGAGTTTCATTATATTGCTTAGCTAATCTTCAACTCCTTAGCTCAGCTGGTCCTCCTGCCTTGGCTCAGTAGTGCTGGGACTACCGACCACACCTGGCTTTAAAGTGCTCTGACTCGCACAAACACTAAAGAACAACCTATGGAATGAAGTTCTCAGAATGAACATAACCCAGATGATCAGTGAAGGATCACAACCTGTGCAGCAATAATTTGATAAACTAAAATGTGATAACTTCCGGGGAGCTTCCGGGTGGTGTGGCGTGTGTGGTGCGTGTGTTTCCCAGGTAAATCATGGCTAAAAGCTTACGGAGTAAGTGGAAAAGGAAGATGCGAGCCGAAAAGAGAATGCCCCAAAGGAGCTCAGCAGACTTCAAAGTGTTCTCAAAGTAGGCGGTGATGTTTTAATGAAAGATGTTCAAGAGATTACAACCGTGGTGGTCCCCAAACACTGCCAAGAGAAAATGCAGTGTGTGGTGGAAGATAAAAAAGGATGACATGAAAATGGAGACTGAGATTAAGAGAAGCACAAAGACCCTTCTAGATCAGCACGGACAGTACCCCGTATGGATGAACCAGAGGCAGAGAAAAAAGCTGAAGGCGAAGAGACAGAAAGGAAAGGGGAGAACAGGACAAAGGCAGCCAAGGTTTGGCCTGGTTGACTCTTAAAACGTGAGAAGTGCCACATGGGACAGAAGTTGCACTGGAATGTCTGCATTGATTTCAGCTCTCACTATGTGGGAGCTATTCGTTTTCATATTTTAATTTGGCCTACTTCTCTAGTTTGGAATCAAAATAGCTCCTCAAGTTTGTTTCAGGAACTTGAATAAAATAACTCTTTTGATGAAGGAAAACTATACAGAAAATTTAATTGTATATGTCCAGTATCCAAGTATTATCAATCTTGTCAAGTACTGATATGGTTATAATTGCTTGATGTAACAACATGCAGTTACATTCAGTGCATCAGATAAAACCTGAAATACTGACAGAATTCAAATAGAAAGCCATTATATCAGCATATTTAAAAACAAGACATCAAGTGACTGGAGAGATGGCTCACAGTTGGGAGTGCATGCTGCTCTTGGAGAGGACCCGGGTTTGTTTTCTAGCACCCATGTCATGCTGCTTACAACCGACAACCTGTAGCTTTGACTCTGAGGGATCTACGCCCTCTTCTGCCCTCCACAAGCACCTGCACTCATGTGCACAAACTCATACATAGATACGTACACACATAATTAAAAACTAAAATCTTTTTGTAAAAAAGGACAGAGGCTGGAGAGATGGTTGAGAGAACTGGCTGTTCTTTCAGAGGACTTGGGTTCAGTTCCCAGCACCCACATAATGCCTGGCAGCTGTCCTTAACTCCAGTTCCAGAGGATCTGATTCCCTTTTCTGACCTCCACAGGCATTGCACCACATGGCACACTTACATACATGTAGGCAGATCACTCACATAAAATAAAACTAATAAAAATAAAAAAGGATATCAGTGGATCTTACAAACAGAACTTACTTCGAGGTTTTATTTTGTTCATAATAAAAGATATTTTGTGTGTAAAAAAAAAATGTGATAACTCCCAATTACAATGTTCACCCAAAAGATTTTGAAAGAAAGAAAGAAAAGAAAAGAAAAGAAAAAAGAAAAGAAAAGAAAAGAAAAGGAAAGGAAAGCCTTTCAAACACTGGAGATCCCTAAACATCATCAGCGCTCATTGGTCCCGGATCACCTGACCTCCTCCTCCAAACAATGCATCAAAATACCAACTTCCATTACCTGCTTCACCGCATCAAATATGTACCAGATCAGCTCATATCATAAGAAAGCAAGGGAAGTACAATAAGAGTTAAGGGAGACCTCATTACATAGTTTTAATTACAGTATATTGTTATGATTGTTCATTGTTATTAATGTCTTGCTGTGCCTAAATTAGAAATTACATTTTATTATAGGGGTGTGTGTGTGTGTGTGTGTGTGTGTGTAGACTGGGTTCAGGACTACTTGTAAACTTGCAGTTTCAGGTATCCATTAGAGGGTCTTAGAATGTATCCCCTGCAGATAAGAGCCAGTCTGCTGTTCCTGACAGTTTAAATTTAAAAATCAAACAACACCCCCACCAGGATGTTCTAAAATAAATCATATATTAAAAATCTTGCATTTAGAGCCAGGTGTGGTGGTGCACGCCTATAGTCCCAGCACTTGGGAGGCAGAGGCAGGTAGATCTCTGTGAGTTCAAAGCCAATCTGGTCTACACAGTGAGTTCCAGGCTAGCTGGGGCTACAGGGAGACACTGTTTTAAAAAGAAAAAAAAAAAATTATTGCATTTATGCTAATAAGAATCAGCTACAAACTGTGGATAGTGGTGCAGGCCTTTAACCCCAGCACTCTGGAGGCAGAGACAGGTGGATCTTTATGAAACTGGGGCCAGCCTGGTGTCCACATAGTTTCTAGGTCAAACAGAAGTGGGAGATCCTGTCTCAAAAAAGAATCTTCTATATAAGTAATGAGTTGTTAAAACCTGGAAACACACCTGAGTTTTCCTTGGCTATGAGCTCAGTTTTTAAGTTAATTGCCTGGCATTGCTGTTTTGCTTACAAAAGGTTTAGGCTTCCTCAACAGAAATATGCGGGCCGCTGGCTTTCAAACTTTTGAAGTCACAAAAATCACTCACAAAAATGCAAATGAAGTCTGATTTTTAAAAAATTTTTAAAATCTGAAAGTAAGAAGGCCTGGGAAGTCTGTACTTTTAAAGGTAACTTAAGGGACTAACACAAGTGAGAGGAATCACTCAGTGCTTAGTACCAGTCCTGGCCCCTCTTCATCTATCAAATAGTGAATGGATAGTCATATTTTTATTCCTCTGAACACAAGAGTCTTTCTAAAAATATTGTTCATGATTACCTGATCTTTAACAGCTTGAAGGCAAGATTTCTCTGTAATTGGTTTACTTAAGATCCTAAAACAACATTTTTGTTGGTGTTTTAGAATCTTACACATAGTATAGCAAGCTTTGGCAATCTAGAAAATTTACTAATATAAACTGTTACATGATTCCCTGACATACTCAGACATCTTTTCAAGATGTGTGAGAGATTGTTTTAAAAAAAAAAATCAGCTGCTGAACTCAGAAATCTACAAAAAATAGTTTAATGGAAGTTTTGGTTTTTTTTTTTAAATTAACAGCGCTAGCAAATTGATGTATACATTTAATACCAGGACTTGCTAAATTGCTTGCTTAATATTTATTAATCAGATGATATTAGTAAGAAAAAAACCCCACATTGTTCTCCAGTTGTTGGTCTTGAAAATTAATGAAATAATAATATTAATATTCTAAAACTAGAGCTTTTCAGTTTCAAAGGGCTTTAAAAAACTTTATCCCTCTCTTCTGAGACCCTTGCAGAACACAAGAAACAACAGCAGGTGGAAGAGGAAACTCAGACCAAAAAGTCTCCAGCACAAACTGAACTGCAGCTGAATGAGTTTCCCTCGCCTGACCCAGTTCAGTAATAAGACAGATCACTGTTAGAGTAATGGGGCTCCAGCTTGACACTGACAACTGACACAAGGGGTAAACTAGGTCCTGTCAGTAAGGCAAGAAAACAGTGTGCTGTTTTCTGCAGAGCTGGGGCTCCACTTCCCCAGCATCCAGCACAAGCACTTACCATGATAATCCCCTTGGCTTGGTGGATTGGTGAGAATAATCTTCATGCAACTGAAAGGCGTATAGTCTGTCCGCTTGCCTTCCTTTCCAAAGCTATGGCGGATATTGTAAGAGTAACCTTTATCAAACTAAGAGAAAAAGAAAGACACAAGTCAGTCAACACTGCACTAATGGCATCAGTAATATCAGTCACCATCAAGTGTAAAGTGATCTTTTCTCCAACATTGTTCATGAACAGAGAGATGTACATGCATAAATTGCATCGCTTGGATCTTTGATGATGGAAACAGCTAACTTCCTCTCCCTCTACCCATACTCGGGATTTTTCTGCTACTTCCATACACACTGGTCTCTGCTGTGCACTAAATAAACTTGTTAAAGAAACAACAACAAAAACCTTCTCAGGTAGGCAACAGCTAACATTAGTCATCCCCCAGTTCTTGATCTATGGGTGGTAAATCCCAGCAATCCTATGGTTACCAGAATCTGTACGTCAATGCTCAATAGCATACATAAAAGGGTGTGATAGTTGTACATAACCATTATCCTTCCATACACTTTAAATAATCTCTAAATTATAAGAAATCCAATGTAAATACCATTTGAATAGTTGTTATACGGTTACCATTTGGGAGTAATAACAAAGAAGAAAGTCTGTACATGTTTAGTATGTACACAATTTATCTTTTTTATTATTTTTATTTTATGTATATGCATGTATTGCCTGCATGTATTTAAGTGCACCCATGTCATGCAATGCCCACAGAGGACAGAAGAGGCCATTGGATCCCCTGGATCTGGAGTTACAGACAATTGTTAGCTTCCATGTGGGTGCCGGGATTCGAACCTGGGTCTTCTGCAAGAATAGCCAGTGTTCTTACCTGCTGAGCCATCTTTCCAGCTCCCACAATTTATCTTTTAATGTTTCAACCCAAGATTGGTAGAATCTAAGGATGTGAAAACCCCAAACTGTGGATGGCTAGCTAATGATCTGCTCCAAAAAAGAATAAACAACTCCTCTTTCCTTATTTGACTTTAGAGACTGTACTAGATGGAAACCAGTAATGTTTACACCTCTTCCTCCTAGCTACCCTTTAATTTCTATGTCCTAACTCATTCTACTTCTGAACTGCCTCTAAAGATAATTAATGCTTTCCTCTGCATTGCCACTCCAGAAAACAAGTTATCAGCAAATGTTTGACAACTGAAGGAGCCACTGCCATTGCCTCCTACCTGGAATCCCTGCCTCTGTGTTCACAAAACAAGCTAATGGGATGGTAGGGACTTTGGAAGGAGCAAGGTAAGAGAGGAAAGGAGAACTAGCATTTATTGAAAGGCATCTAGGTACCACCAGGCATTCTGTTAGGTGCTTTTAAAAATGTAATCCCATTTTTATCATTTCCACGTATCACAGTTCCCCTGTGATTGAAGTTCAGAGATGAAGCAATGTAGCATAATACAGATATTAAGTAAATGGCAGAGCTAAAAATCAGGTACACATAAGTATGATTCCAAAACCCATGTTCTTTCTATAATCCTGCACTTTTTCAGTAATAAGAAAATTCAAATTAAGTCTTTTTGGGCAGTAGCTTCTTTCTAGGAACACTTCATCTTGGAGGCCAGAGGCAGAGGCAGTCTCTTCCTCTAAACTTCAGTAGCATTTTCCAAAATGTACCTACACCTCTCTAGAAACTTACCTTTATTACTTGATTTCCATTAACTTAACTGTATTTGTCTTAGGGCATAGTTCTTATACTTTCTACTGAGGTGATTAGTTGTTCCTGGGCCCTATGCTGTTTACTGGACCTTTGTATCCAGCTCCATACCTGCATGGAAGAAAAGTGAACTTAACTGAACATGGATGAACTTCTTAGTCTACTTTAGCATTTGAAAGGATACCATCCCATTTTTATGTTCTTGTTAAATGGTTCCAGTGCCTGACAGTTGGTGATTTTTGAATCCCTCTATTAGGTGACATCCCTAACCCACTGGTCAACGAATGGCAGACAAGAATTTGACAAGAATTTGACTACAGAAAATATTTAACATGGTAGAATATTCGATAAAAAATAAACTTTATTGAGAAAGAGTGGTGATTAAAGTAAGGATCTCACGCAAAGTGACTCTTTTGGGTAAAATTGTAAGAATTAAAACCAAGTTTCTAAAATGAATTTTGTACTATTACAAATGACACAGTCTAAAAACTTTTAAACTGTCAGAACATAGTCTTAGACTAGAACCTGTTTTCACTGCTCAGTAATCTCTCAAAGCTTCCAAAATGAAATTATCAGATACTGTGAGTGGTTCACATAGCACATCAAATGTTCTTATACGATACCTCAGCAACACTTGTCTAAGCTGTGGAAAGCCAGAGAGCTCACATAAAAGTCACTTGCAAAGGGCAAGATCTTCAGCACTCTAATTCTAATAATTAGAATGAAGTGGCTATAAAAAGGTTACACTCTTTTTATTTCTATGCTCCTTAAATAAAATGTATGCTCTGGAAAAGGTTTCTGAGCAAATTTTCATATGTAAAATTACTAAGCATAACACTGAAAAGTAGTATGTAGACAGGAACAAAAATAAAACATCATCTTGAATATATAAATAATTTTATGCCAATGGGCAATTGTGGGAATGACTTTTATAAATGGATATAATCTGGACTGATGACTTTTAATTAATCCCAGCAAAACCATGTGCTTTTGTATCTTGTGACCTAGGTAACCTCAATTTGGTACTCCACCCAAAAGGATGGTGGGTGACTGACTGACTGACTGACTGAATGTGGGTATGCTTGAGAATTAACGTATCAAAGCACCAAAAGGTGGTACCCCACCTCCATTGTACACAGAGAAGATTGGGAAGGACCTGTGACCTTGGATGAAAGAGGTATTCTAGAACTAGGGATAAAAAGGTCAGATGGTCTGCTAAGGTTGGGGTGGAACCAAGCTTGTACTTCCCCAACTGAAGCTGGAGAAGCCATTTTGAATAAAATTATGGGTGAAGCTGGACTTGGGACACAGGTGCAGGGACAGAGTTCCAACAAGACAGTTCCAAGAGAGCTCTAGGGGAACAAGTATCCTCTGAGTTCAGGCCCACTCTTAAAAACTAAGTTTAAGGCTTTCATTTATTCAGGTAATCATAATGTTGGCATAGTAATGCCACAGGTAATAAATTAAAAACTTCATTGCAAAAAGTAGGCAGGACCTCTTTGGAGAAAGAAATAAATCCCTCCTGCATTAAGTAACCCTAAGGCACACAAGTGTGGTGGATCTGCCTATTGTTCCTTTTTCTCTAGGGTCATGATAAAAGTACCATAGCAAACAGCAGGGGTGTTGGAGACCCCAGGCTTGGCAGTCAGTAAGGCCTGGGAAAATCTCCAGTCTGGCAACTTAAGATGGGTGTGTGTTCTAGTTGGCCTTCAATTGTTATGACAAAACACTCAGACCAATACTAATGTGGAGAGGAAAGGATTTACTTAGCATACATCTCCCAGGTCACAGTTCATCACTGAGAGAGCCCAAAGTAGGAACTCAGGCCGTGGAGGAATGCTGTTTACTGGCTTGCTCCTCTGGCCTGTGCTCAGCCTGTATTCTTATACAATACAGGACTATTTGACAAGGGGTATCATTGCCCACAGTGGGCTGGATCCTTCCACATCACTCAACAATCAAGAAAATGCCCCAAAGACATGACCACAGGCCAGTCCAAGGAGGCAATTCCCCAACTGAGGCTCCCTCTACCAGAGGTGTGTTAACAACTAAAGTTATCCAGTACAGTGTGATTTCATCTCCTAATCCATGTCCTACCCCTTTAGTGATTTTACATCTACTGACTCCCAACCCATTCCTTGACTATAAATCTCCACTTGTCAATGCCGTATCTGAGTTGTAGCTCTATACTAAGGTCGCTTTCCCTCTATTCCAGCACTTCCTGAAGAAAATCTGTTAACATTGCTTTAATTACTGCTCACCTCTGCTTTTAATTTACCAACACTTCAGTGCCAAAACTCAGATCTAGATCTGACTCCCATCATTGGTTCCCCATTCATTATAAACAACCCCCCAACACACACTGAAGCTTCTTTCTCCATCTACGTACTAGTATGGGTAGCAGGTAAAAGTCCACTGTCACGTGGTAAGGAGGGAGCTGACTCCCAAGATTCTGAACACAATGCTCATGAATTTGATGTGATCATTTCAATAAATGCATCAGAGACTGAAAATATTGCAAGTTAAAATGCATCTAATACCTCTAACCTACTGTTAGGGAAAGAGGGATTTACTGCTTGAATTTACTGCTTGTCTGAATTTACTGCTTGAATTTACTTGTTTGAATTTACTGCTTGTAACCAATTAATTCAACTGGAGACACAGGCATCCAGAGATAGGGGTAATTGCTACAGCCCCCGAGCCTGACCTGTCTGATCTGTGTCATGTCACATAGGCATGTCTGCTTACACAAGATAACAGGGAAGGGCCATGCCAGGCACATACCACCCATCCCTCCCTGATTGGGACACCTGAAGGGAGTTGTAACATTTTTCTTGTTTTGAAGTTATTGGTTTGTGAAATGCTTGCTTTGAAACTATTGGTTGTATAAACGCGGGCTTTTGTGTAACGGCTGTGGGAGCCTATATAATCTTTACCTGAAATTGCCTCAGGGTCGATTGCTCTAACCAGACCTGTGTGTCTTGGAAGGACGGTCGGCCCCAGCTAGCTGGTTTAATAGAACTTTGCTTGATATTTGCATCTCCATTCTTGGAAGGATGGTCGGCCCCAGCTAGCTGGTTTAATAAAACTCTGCTTGATTTTTGCATCTCCATACTCATGCATTTGTTCTCCTGAAAAGACCCACCAAGTCACGGACCCTCACACTACCAAATGCTAGCACTTAGGAACGCAGTGCCCTACAGCAATGAGTTCTTTACCGTCATGGCTGTGGGGCAAACTGAGCTTCAGCTCACTCCCCCACCCTGCTTCTCCAGAGCCCATAAAGGCAGTAGACAGAATTTCTCCTCAACACAGATACAGAAATAATTTAAAAAAAAAAAATTCAAGAAGTAAATGTAATTAACTTCTGCTAAACTAGTATCTTTTTATTTACTTTCGCACTATCTTCAGTG